GCAGCAATCAGAAGGACATTTTTGCTGCAGCATCCTCTTAGCAACCAGTTTCACCTCAAGCAGCCACTCACCAGTCTGAGAATGAACATTTCTCCCTAGCAACCGGAGGTTTCCAGAAGGTTGCCGACGGGTCTCTAAGCCTGTGTGGCTGAAGCTTGAAGAGCCAAAAATTAGACCAGGGCACAATTTTAGCTCAACAGTGAATCAGGCCAAATGAAGAAACCCAGATTCGATTCGAGGCCCTCTCTCTCTCTGTCACCTTTTAATACAAACAAAACCTAATAAAAGTGACAAAAGCCCAAAATAATTCTTTCTCGGATTAACATGAAATACAGATGTTAACATGAAATGTCTCTCCGTCTTGTTTGTTTCCTACTGTTTCACTCGAGCTCCTTTGGTTATCGCTTTTTGATTTAAAGACACCCAGCTGGAAGACTGCAGCCACTAAATGTTTATGTTACCGAACCTGAATATCAGTTTAGTTCACATAGGAACTGCCTCATACGAATAGGAAGCTAAATTAGCTTAAGTTATGACCAAGCTGTTCCTGTAAATTGTGACCTGATGCTCAAGTTAGACAAGTGTTGGTCAGTGAGATCTCTCAGGTGGGCAAAGACAAATGAACTGGACGCTCACCTGAATGCATTTCCAGGATGCCCAAATCCACCTGGATGAATCTGTGAGAGGACAGGAAGATATGAAGGAACAAGTAGCCATGATGGAGCGCAGAACAACCTTGATGCAGGCCGAGATCGAAGAGCTTCGAGCTGCTGTGGAGCAGACGGAGCGCAGTCGAAAAGTGGCTGAACAGGAACTGATCGATGCCAGCGAGCGCGCGGGACTTCTGCATTCTCAGGTAGGCTGCTCACCTGTTCAGCAACCCATTCTGACCTGCAGGATTTACAGGTCACAGTCATTTTTTAATGATCTTTTCCAGAACACAAGCCTTCTAAACACCAAGAAGAAGCTGGAGGCGGATGTAACTCAGCTTCACTGTGAAATAGAAGAAGCCGTTCAAGAGGCCAGGAATGCCGAGGAGAAGGCTAAGAAAGCCATTACTGATGTATGACACTCTTACAGGGCTTTGATTTGAGTTATCACACGTTTGATTATAATAACGATGTGATGTGCTCATGGTTCGGTGTCTCTAGGCTGCCATGATGGCGGAAGAGCTGAAAAAAGAGCAGGACACCAGCGCTCACCTGGAGAGGATGAAGAAGAACCTGGAGGTGACGGTGAAAGACCTTCAGCACCGATTGGATGAGGCCGAAAACTTGGCCATGAAGGGTGGAAAGAAGCAGCTTCAGAAATTGGAGGCCAGGGTGTGTATGGCTA